CCCTGGGGACCCCTCTCTCCCCATCCCTGAGCCAGTCGGGTCCCTATGATCCACTAGGTCCCTGACCAAAGACCAGAGCATCCTCGGGCCGCTCTGAGTTTGAGCCTGCCGTCAAACCCGCTGGATCCTGGGATCCCCCTGCTCCGCTTTCAACCTTCTTTCTCCCAGGGGCCTTGGATCGTGGGGGTCTTTGATTCCAGGGACCCTGCCCTACCCGATTTTTCTTTTCTGGTTTCTCGCAGTCTTCCGATCTCTGGGTACCCTCCAAACCACTACTTTTCTTTCTGATCTGTGCTCCCTTGACTGCGGGCGTTTGACCCACTAGATTCCTTTTCTCTCATTGCCCAGGATCCCGCCATCCTCCAGTCCCTCAACCTGACAGATTTCTCTCTCAAATGCCTGCGTTTTTACCACCACCGCACGAGAGCGCTCGGATCTAGGTCCCAGGTTCCTCAGCGAGCTCCGGGCGGCAGGTCGAGCTCCGGGCGGCAGGTCGGGGTCTGGCCCCCATGGCCGCCGCCCCCTCCCATGCCGCCGGAGTCCCGGGTTCTCCGGTGCCCGGGTCGCCTCCGCCCCCCGGGGGCTTGGAGCTCCAGTCGCCGCCACCTCCGCTGCCTCAGATCCCGACCCCGGGCTCGGGGGTCTCCTTCCACATCCAGATCGGATTGACCCGGGAGTTCGTGCTGCTGCCGGCAGCCTCCGAGTTAGCTCATGTGAAGCAACTCGCCTGTTCTATCGTGGACCAAAAGGTGGGTGCCTGGGGGCTCTCCTCATAAAGGAAAGGGGGCTTCAGAAGGGGCCCGGGGCTTGTTGGGAGGGGAGAGAGGGGCCTGGGTAACTGAGCCGAGGAGGGGCACTACTCCCCGCTTGTGTCCTCACTCCACCACTGGTTTGAGAGAGGCCCAGGTAGGGGTGGGGTGCCCCAGAGGCCTCCCCAAATTGCGTGTCGCTGCTTGTTGTTTTCTGCAGCGGGCAGGGAGGAAAGGGAGGGGCCTTGCCAGGTGTGGAGTGGGGAGGAAGGGGCAAGTGGGAGCTGCAGATCAGGGGGACCTCTTATGGTCCCACCCCGGGGCCTCGGTTCTTTGGAAACAGTAGAAACCGAAGCCATCCTGGCCATGGTGATCGGGTGACATGTGTGGGTGTGTGGACAAGCTGCCAGGGCAAGCAAGGTCTCGGGGACAATCTCTACCCTTCCCCAGGCCTACGATGGGGTGCGAAGGAGCAAGGCACTCCTTGTGTATCCCCTCGGCACCCCCAGAACCACTGCAGACTTTACCTGCTCTCCTAACCACGGCTTCCCCATGCTCCTCTTAGCTTTAGATATCAAGATTCCTCCCCTGAGTGTCGAAAGGGAGCCAAGTAGGACCGGATCCCCAATCCTAGGAATGTTAACAGTTACCACCAGGCGGGACGGGGGTGGTGGCAACACCCCTGTGATCCCAGCAACTCGGGAGGCAGAGACAGGTGAACCTCTGTGAGTTCAAGGCCAGCCTGGTCTACAGAGTGAGTTCCAGGACAGCCAGGGCTACACAAAGAAATCCTGTCTCAGAAAACAACCAGAAGTTATGACCAGGCTGGTAGAGCACTTGCCTAGCAAGCAAAAGCCCTGGGTTCCATTCCCACCCCAACCCGCATCCCAGGGCGGTGGTGGTGCTTGTGTGCAGTTCAAGTGCCTGACTGTGAAAATGGAGAACTTTGGGGTCCGGAGAAGTTAGATATTGAAATCTTTTCATACTAAGGCATTCAAGTACTAGAATCTGAAGTTTATAGTGTCGCTACATCGTAAGAACCCTAGATGACACTGATAATAATAGGACAGTTACAGTGGGAACCCAGGATTCTAGAACGAGAGCACATTGGAATCCAAAAACATCCGGATTTAGGCTTCTCTCAGGCTCTTGGAACTGGATCCTTGGGGCTTAAGGGAAGCAGAAGGAACAGGGCCACCTCCCCCATTTTTTCCAGCCGGTGAAACTAGTTTAGAAAAAGACCTTCCAGTTACTTTTGTAATCCCAGCACTGAGAAGGAGCATCAGGAGCTTTAAGCCGGGCTAGGGCATTTCCAGACCCTGTCTCAAGAGAAAAAAAGAAAAAAACAAACTAATTCACCATGAGGGGCAAAGCAGTTCTGGTTTTCTGTAGAAGATTGGGGTGGGGAGAGCCGTGCCCACCAACTCCCCAAAGTCCAGCCCAGCTCTC